GAAATTTGTGAAAAATTATTCCTTGCTTCCGTTCTCCGTTTAATTTACGTCTGAGGACAAACAGTGAACCTCCTGAACATCAAACTATTGATCTCTGCATTTTATGCTCTATATGAAATTTACAGCACCCAAGATCAAGTGTTACTTTCGACCCACAGACGGCCTCTCAGATCCACAAAGCAGGAGGTGAATCAACATATGGCTTGGAAGGAAGTTTCCTCCATGATTTTCATTGTTCGCAGTCCTCAAGGTTAACTCTTCCACAGCACGGAGTTCCCCTCTTTCTGTTATAAAATCCTTTCAGGAGGCCTGCCTTCGAATTCCAGCCCCAGGCCTGACTAGAGGATGCAGCCATCATTTCACTGGCCCCTCTTGCCTTCCTTATCCTAAAACAAATCAGTTGCTTGGATGATCTCTGTGGTCTTTTCTGTGCTTGTGACGTCACTGATACTTAACCTTGTAATGAAGATAGATGGAGTACAGAGTGATGTCTAGGCAGTGAAAAGGGACTTTCAACATGGGTAAGTGGCTCACAAGCTTTGTGAGCATAAGTGCCCTCTTTTTAATATTTCAATTTTTTTTAATTGGCACAGGATTTTATTTTTTTATTTTTATTTTTTAACTGGTCATTTTTATTTATTTATTTATTTATTTATTTATTTATTTATTTATTTATTTAATATCTCAATTTTATCTCAATATAGCAGTTTTTAAAATGTTGTACATACACACATACCCTCCTCCCAACATGGATTGCTACAGTATTGCTATTTAGAGCCTCCTAAAAAGCGAACACTCAATCATTCAAATATTTACTAATCACCTATTTGCCAAGCACTAGAAATACAAAGACGGACCAGATATAGCACATCCATGGCCTTAGGGAGGTAGAAATCTCATGACAGAAAAATATAATTTAATAAAATAGTAATAAGGCCTAACATTTAGTAAACATTAGGTGCCAAACACCATTCTAAGCATGTTACTTGACTTTAATCATTTAAATATATGTACTGTTTTGTAACTTGCATGCTGATATTAACAGTGGAGAGACTATGCAATAAAGAGGAAATATAAACTGAATCTTGAAGACTGAGTGGAAGTTCGTTTAGAGATAGGTATTCCAAGTAGGAAATACAGGATATACACAAAGAGAGGATTATAAAAGATGGCACATGCAGGGTCTGTTGAAGAACATGAGAAGCCAGGAATGGAGAGGTAGGCTAGTGCCAAATCAAGCATGTAATGAAAAGCTAACCTACACAATGTTTCAGAGAAAGGTGAGTTACTAGCATTTTCAACCCAAATAACCACCTCATCTTAAATGTACCTGATGAGTACGATAGCTATTTAACTCAATAAATATAGTAAAACAAATGCTAAAAATAAACAACTATAAAAGTCTGTTTTCCCATTCTTTACCTATTTCTCCCTCCTTTCATCTCCATTCTTGATCCCCCCAGCAGCAGTCATTATGATGCTTAATTATGACTTTGCCAAATAGCATACATGTTGTCAAATTGCATGTAATTAACAAATAAATTTAAAATTTGCATTTATGACAACAAAAAGTTTTAAATGCTTAACATTAAAAAAATCAAAAACATTTTGTAGTGGTTTCAAAATCCATTGATTGAGAACAAGTTAGAGACAAGCAGCTATTAAAATTTCAATGATGCTTTGTGTTAATTTATGTCTTATTAAATACAAAGCAATCTCCATAGTAGACATACGTATGTGAGACATATTCATTTGATTTATGGGCAATGCTTTATCGTGCACATGAATTTGTGGATCTCATAGTGTAAGTAAGACAATGTAAATAGAAGTGTTTAATTTGATGCCTGGTACGTGCAGACACCCAAGAAGTGGTCATTATCCTCCTCAGCAGCAGCAGCAGCTATAGCAACTCAGGCATCTTGAGCACACATGCGGGAATGACAGACAGTTATCATTTTCCCTCTGGTGTGGAGAAAAAAAAAAAACACTAGAATGTAAGTCCTAAGAGGCAGATTATAAGGCAGAAGCCTCAGATCTGTCACTAACCACCTACTGACTGTGGACAAGTCATTCTCCTCTTTGGGCTTCTGTCTTGAAACCTAAAAGAAGGAGTTGAATAAGATGACCTCTGAGATTCTTTGCATCTCTCAAATACAATCCCTCTTTCACATGCTTATCAAGAATCAAACTATAGATTCTAAGTAGCCTAATTCATTATTGTCCAGATAAATGAGCATCAGTCATGGTTCAAGTTTCTGCAATGTGCTTAAACAATGAAATGCAAATTGGCACCATCCCCAGAGAGAGTGTTTTAACCGTATCTTTCAAAATTGCAAATGTAGACTTCAATTGATGCAATAATTCTACTTCGAGGAATGTATCCTGTGCATGATATGCTTGGAAACAACCTAAATGTCCATCATTGGGGACCAGTGAAGTAATTGTGCATTTCCACAATGAAATATTATGTTTCTGTAAAAAGGGTAATGAGTATCTTTATGTATCAATATGGAAAGATATCCAAGATATATTACTAAGAAGAAAA